TAATAAACGGCAGAAAACGGTCAAACTACTTGCTTTACAAACAAGTGGTTGCATGACCATACACACAAAATATAATAATATAATAAGAAAATATCACTTTGATCAGTTTGCAACATCAAGCGGCAAAACAAACTGTTTTTAATGTCTAAAAATTAATGGAAGTGAATGGGATTGGAAGTCTTGAGCCAAAAAAAAATCAAATAGCTGCACCAACTCGTACAATGCGAATAAGGGGAATAGATTTTATAGTCAATATAGTAATTTTTGGTAAAATTCTAGTTATTTTTTAACCATACTGACACCTCAAGAGGATGAGATGTTGCGCAATCAGCTAAAATGTTGCTAGAATTGGTTTTAATGTATGGGCGATATGTATTACATAACCAAAAATGATTGAGGTCATGTCCAGCTGTTGTGTGATACATCAATATATACAATATTGTGACAAGACTAGTGAACATTAAATAATAGAATCTTATTATAAAGTGTTGCCTTTTTAATACATCTTGCATGTTAAATCCCAAGAGTTCTGCAGCCATGTGACAATAAAAACAGTAAATACAACAGTTTTAAATTAGACAAGAGTGACATTTACTAATATGCATCTATTAGAAATGGAGCTGCTTTTTGAACCATACCCTATTTTGCACTACAGCAGTGACATGAATAAAATTTGAGTTTAACACTATGAATTATGGATCTGTCGTCAAATCATTAGAAACACTAGCCCGATTTCCTCCATGTGATTAGAGCTTTCTACCGCCATGAAAAAAAGACATAAATTTTAGTCTATGAAAAAGAAGATGACAAATGTATGGTAAGAAAGCAACACTTTGAAATAAAAACCGTGACCTGTTACTAGCCTTGTCACTGGCTCAGAAATGGTTTGCATGCTCTGGATGCCTGAGTTATTCGAGCCCAGGGGGGGATCTGCCGACTGAAAATGAGATCCCACCCTAGAGGCCCCCCTAGATATGGCAGCCCAGTACACAAGGGCAATTCCTCCACTGGCTCAGTTAGTCAATCAGGCTGAAAGACAGAGAGAGTGCGGGTGGGAGTGTGGGGTGGGGGGGTTGCCATTTTGGGCAGCAAGCCTTGGATGCTTTTCAGCAAATATGAAGTATATAAGTTATTTTTTATACATAGGAGAGGAATGTAGAATAAAACCGATAAAATGAGAAGCGCTGAATGCCAAGATTCCATTGGAAGCAATATAATAACATTCTCATCTTACTCACACATGCACACAAAGGGAAAATAAGCACAAATGAGATCAATTTTGTATCTCAGTTGTTTCTCCTAGACAGCAATGAGATTAAACGAAGAGCAAATGAAGTCTCCTGCTCCCTAGACTTTTCTTCTAAGCAAAAAAAGAAAAGAGTTCCTGGTAATCTTGCATCTGTCTCCCTTTAGATTTCACATTCGGAATAAAAAGCCAAAGGTTTTAAATATGGACTAAAACATTTCTCATCTAAGAAAAAATCTGATAAAATTGAATAAACTTGAAAAATAAACTATTTGAGATAGCCTATCGACCTTGATTTATACTGTAGCGCTGTGCTGTTAGTGTATATCAACTCATTTGTGTGTGTGTGTATTTATAATGACTCCTGAGCTACACCATGTTTGAACTTGAATTCCCATTTACAGTACTTGGAGTTAAAGTTTGAGGGACAATTGAGAATTTTTCAAATGCCAGATAGAACCATTTATTCATTTTCCTTCGGCTTAGTCTCTTATTTATCAGGGGTCGCCACAGCGGAATTTACTGCAAACTACTTCGTACACTATGGCCAATTTAGTTTATCCAATTTACCTATACCGCATATCTTTGGACTTTGGCGGAATCCCATGCAAATATGGGGAGAACATGCAAACTCTACACAAAAATCACTGTGCCGCCAGATTAGACCACTGAAATGCCATCATGAAAATTGCATGTATTTTTAAGCCTTGCCAGTTTGGATGTTCAGGTGGTTATAAAACATTCTAGTGCAAGATGATGTGAAAGAACTTAAATTGCGGCACAAACAGACAGTCATGTATTAGACAGCATACAAACTCCACACTAACTTTTTTTTAATCTACTATTTTGAAGAGATTAAAAGTTTTAATGATTTTAGTTTTAATATTGAGTCTCCGACAGGTTTTGAGAAATCACTGACAAATGCCTGAAATCACAGGCAAACTATGCTTGTTCACGTGAGTAACAATCACACAGTGTGAACTATCAAAGACGGGATCCGCCGACACCTGTTAAATATTTGGCATGGTATTAGCTGGACCTGTCTTAAAAATTATGCTGTGTGAAATGTGTTTTGATTAAAAATAACAGCGGCGATTACCTACAGTCAATAAGAAAGCAGCATCCACTAGTATGGGTATTTGCAGGCCACCGAGAGGTCGGGGAAGAAGTTCTTTTCGGTCTATTTGGACTCAAGAAATGGATGAAAAACTAGTGGAAATTTGGCAGAAGCACCCATGTTTGTCTGAGCACAACCGGGTCGAAAAAGGAAAAACCTTTCAAAAACCCTTCAAAACACAGGTGAGCAAAATAAGTAAACTTACTAACACTAACGGCTTCTTTCTCATTATGTAGTTAATAATAAAAGATATACTTCATGACATTGCGTTGTTTTCATGTCACTTCTCGCGTGTGTTAGGTTGTGAGACGTAGTTTAAGGACCAAGACAAAGTTGTCGGCGATTCTTCCCATTGTAAAGTCATGCAGTGTGAAACCATCTGTCGCCAATCCATCCAGTTGTATAAACACAGCAGCGACGGAATGCTACCCCAGATAGTCATGCAGTATGAAAACATATGTGAGTTGGAAAATCATGCAGTCTGAATTCGGCATTAGTGTACTACTACCTACTACTTACATTATTACATTATTATATATATATATATATATATATATATATATATATATATATATATATATATATATATATATATATATAAACAAAGTATTCAAAACATTAATAAACAAATTTTCTCTAGACATATGAAATACTTCTGCATGCTCAGGTTTTAACTGACGATACATTTTTTGTACGTATGACAAACAAATTGGCCAAAAACATATTGAACTTACTTAAACTGAAAATCCTAATTTCTCCCTTAAAAGCTTGCTCTGAGTGAGAGCAGAATTGAGTTGGATTGTATTCACTTTCTCTCTGTTGCATTAGATTACAATCAGAGACATAATGAGGGGATCTGAAATGCAATTATTTTAAATGGTATTGTAAAATGCGGTGTCCTGAGGGTTAATACTCCATAATATCGAATCATGGAAAGGAAAAGTAATGAACTGGCTCACAGACATGACTCTCCGCCCTCTGGTTTCCGCCAGCACGCATACACACACACACACACACGCGATTGCAGATGCACAATGAAAGCGCATAAACATCATGACGACGTATTCACCTAAGGCCTTCATTAATAATTCATGACTCATATTCAAGCCTTTTATGAAAATGCCCTAGTGCATTTTCGGCTCTTTTCGTCTCAGTAAATGTTACGCTCCTCCAATTTGACCTTTTCACCTCTTCTAATCCGACATCATTGAGATGTTAAAATCTAGATGTTTGTTTCAAAGTTGTAATGTGGCAGACATTCAGCGTCTGCATCTTGACAACGTGCCATTCCTTAATTATCAGATAATCTAATTAATAAAAGCTGAAAACAAGAGGGGCTCACTTTCATGCCTGAGGTTTGGGATTTTGCTGAGGCCACACGTTTTCTCCTTTAAAGTCTAACCCCATTGTACCTTCAGCCTCAAAACCCTGCCAATCTTCCGCCGGGAATCACACAAGAAGATCTCCGAAATGTCAGCCTGACAGAAGCACTTTTCACTGCCCTTCCCGCCACTGCGTAAGAGCCACTGGAGGACGGAAAAGGGTCACTAACTGTGTGCAAAAATGTGTGCGTATGCATGCACGCAGCTGTAAGCTTTAGATCGAGACACTAGGGTTGTAGATATGCATGCATGGCATCTAAATCACTGTGGTGTTATAAAAAAAAATGCAAAGTGTGTTTGTAGACGCTCTCTTTTTTTTCTTTCTGCTGAGCTCCGGAAGTGAGCCCCAAGGCGAACCCCTTTGACCTTTCCAAAATGTTACTGCCCATTTGGCACGGCAGCCGCAGCTAATAAAACTTTTATAATCATGAATTTTTTATTCCAATCCCACTCCAGGCCTTGGGCTAACCTGGACCGTAGTAGCCCGAGACCCAGAGAGAAATTGAGAGATGCTGTGGGAGGTTGTGGGTTGAGGTTTCATCATTTTACCCTCTTAGTTTAGACTTTTGGAGAATTATAAGTGGCATGCATTTTAGTTTTTTTTAATGTTTCTTTTACTTCAACTTCTCCCTCAACAACACACACTCACAAAAAGATCACAATGAATTCTGGGAACTGACTGGCCTGGTAATTGCACTCATCTGTTCAGGGTCCGCTTAAAAAAAGCAGTCTTGGCTTAAATGTTGCTTAGAAACTGGTGACCCCAGACCCATATTCTCATGGTCAGCTTGGTATGGGTGAAATTAGGAAATTCAGAAATACTCAAAAGAGGTCATGGCGCTGGAGTAAATGTCTAAGGTTTTAAGGCAGAAAGCCCCCACACAGGATTTACATCTGCATGAGTCATCAGAGAATAAGATTATGCAAGCTGCCCCCTGGTTCTTATACAGTGTTTCATAATGACCTCCCTACACGCTAATGATGCTGACTTGCCATCCATTTATGAGGCCATATTCATCCTCTAGTCTCTATATTCTTCTCTGTTAACCAAGCATAGTGACTCTTTTTGTTATCCCTCTGACCTTCTTTGTGTGCATTTACATGATTGCATGAGTTCTTGTATGTGGGCACCTGTGTCTATTCAACTATAAATAGGTATAGAGCAACTGCACACATAGGATGGCAATCCTGTTTAAACAGAGAGAAGAGCATAACAGGTAGCGAAAGATAGGAGTCATCTGGGAGAGACACTTACGGTTGGCAGAGTTTGATGAGGTCCTGGTCGGTGGTGCCAGGCGGAAGGCCCCGGATGTACAAGTTGGTTTTACTGAGCTGCTCCGCTGCACTGTGGCTGCTGCTATTGGTGCTGGGGCTGGGCGGAGCCATGGGCGGAGGGGGCGGGGCATATGACTGCTGCAAAACAGAGAGACATAATCATTGATTTAAAAATTAATGTAAATACACATTTGCATAGCAAGATATCCTGACTGAAAAAAGAAGATACATTCATTTATGTTAGGCACACATGGCTTAAGGAATCATTTTCTTTTTTTTAGTATAACATTTTATTTAAGTGTGGCTGAAGGTAATATTATGTACAGCTAGTTGACCATACGAAAACATCATCCAAAAAAGTCATTTTAAAACCAACGAATAGCAATAATAATCATCCTGATGTTGTAGGTCATAGACTATGACAATATGGGTAACATAGTGTCCAAAGCCTTTTTAAAATTTAGAAAGTTTGTAGCCCAGAGATGCCCAAACTAGGGCAAACTATAACCTTCGATTGGCCTACCATATCATGCGAGAAGAGAATAATGGAGATGATTAAGAGACTGTCATTTCTAAATTTATGCAATTTTTTTTTTATTGCTAAGCTCTGAAAAGCTACTAAAATTAAATGTTTTAAATGAATCTGATTTTTTTCTCAAAAGTACATACTGTCACCCAACAGATAGAAGACAATTTTTGATTTATTTATTTTCGATCAAAAATATCATACATAAAATATCATTAAAAATAAAAATACAGTTCAACATGGTCGAAAATGGAGTGGGATGAAGCACAAGCTTATTATTTTCCCACCCCATTACCACATACTTCAATGCAGAGAAATCAGTGAGCAAATGAAGGCAAAGGCAGATTCTGCTTGACTACTGTATTCAGCACTGATTCCACTGTTAGAAAGGTGATTGTTTGTTTTATTGTAATTCTTTATTGTTTTTTAAAAATTACACCGCATTAAGTTAATGCGATTTAAAGTAATGTTTTCTGTTATTTTTAAATGTTATTTCAAATATGGAAATTACTTAAGGCACTTTAATGTAATAAAGTTTGGTATATTAACCTTCTGCCCAAAGCTCTCAATCTTTGGTTTTTGGCCCTTCATACGAAAAAGTTTGAGCACTCCTGTACTAGCCAAAATATCATATGTGATTTTGAACTATTCAAGTTACAATATAATAAAATCACAAAAAATTATTGGGATACACTAATTACTATAACTTAAATGATAAACATGACTTTGGTCATTATTTGGTGAAGTTAAATGACTGGCAGAATATTCTTTTAAAAAATAACCATGACTTACTACAAATAATATAAAAAAATAGTAGTTAAACCATGTTAACCTCAACTGTTTTGCTAAACCAACCATACGTTAACAACTGTATTAGTATTTAAGCTTATACGAAATTAATTCAGCAAACCAAAAAAAACAGTATGCTATGCTACACTCTTCGATTAATTTTGGTAACGGTTTCCATTTGCTGTTCCTGTGAGCCATTATATGTAAAGCTCATTTTAAAAGACTTATGAAACAAAAACAACCAATGAAATACTGTGTATTAGGATCCATATTTTCATACGAGGACCGATATGCAACACCGTTCAATATCCCCTGCTTCCGCGTATTCTGCTGGCCTCGTGCTCCAGTCGCAGTTGATGGCAATATTGCATCTGATTGGTCCAGTGAAGCTGATTGGTCCCACTTCGACGTTTTACAAGTATGTTGGGAGATTTCGATGTTTACCAACTACATAATCATCAACAAGGTACGGTAAAACAGAACTTACTAGACTGACTGATGTACATTCATCCCTCACTGTAGAGGTTATATGAAATCGCGTCATCTGAATTATGGCGTCCAGCCCGACTGATCCAGTAAGTTAAAGCTTTTGAACCGCATAACTTACACGCCGAGCGTTCAATCTATTTTTTTTCTGACAGACACGGCAGTCAGATATAGAAACATCACTGTGACAGTTAGACTGTGGCATGAGAGCTATTATTTATCCGTGTGTGCGCTTTCCCAGTGATGTCTGTGTAATGGACTGTGTGTGTGCGTCTGGCCCCGCTTTCTCTGTGTTTGCGATAATCATTGGCTGTCAGTTGTGCTGTACACTGGCAAGTCTCCCCTGGCATTAATCTATTACCTGCACTTCCCCACAGTCTGCAATTTCCTCCAGACAGACGCTGAGACAGACGGACAGACAGACAGACGGGCCTATCACGTAGGAATAGATTCAGCATTCATATAATTCACACACCCCTGTGCCTCAGGCTACAGTTATGAATGAACCCATTGAATTCTCAGGAACACAACACACACAGACGGGGAATAGAAGAGGACAAACTGCATTGAAAACATACTGTGCGCATGTGCGTAAGGGAAACATACACCGCATGTACAGTACTGACTGAGAAAGTAGGGGTTTTTATTTGAATATGAGACGGTGTTACTATTCATTCATTTTAGCCACGTGACGCTCCTTCGTGTATTGGCGAAATATTGTAACATTTGCAGAAAAAAACAAGTATCTATTTACAACTTGTAATCAAATCACTTTGTGTGTTGTCTTGCGTTTATTGTAAACAATATCCCATCTGTTCGATTCAATTTCGTTTTAAAGTTCGACTCTCTCTCTCTTTCCTCCATAGATATATACACTAGATATCGCATGGGGACCCTGAACATGCGTCAATAGCGCCGCCACATTTGTACAGTGCTCCCAGGACATGTCATTCAACCGCACCAGTCACGACAGTGTGCCAGTGTGAAGATGCTGGACTTTAGCGCTATGTACGGGGGTAGTAACGAGAAAACGAAGCACAAAGGCAGAACATTTCATAGGTAAGATTTTGTATTTTACGTTTTTGTTTAATGAACTTTTGTGCTAAACAAGTAACCATATTCATATAGTCATTTACTGCATTCACCATAAGGCAAAGTAGCACCAACTTGCACTAAATTCTATGCTTATGCTAGTTTTGTTGCATAAAATAAGCAAACAATGTAAATGAAATATGACAACAAAATGCTATGGTGCTAGAAACTTGTATTATTGTCGTTCATAATGGAGATTCATTCACAAACAAATCGCTCCCTCTGTTAGAAAAAGAAGTGAAATCGAGAGGGGGTGTGTTTCAGCAACAAGTAGGGAGGATAATACATTTTTATGTACACAAACACACCTTTACCTTTTAAACTGAAGCTCTGTCTATAAGATGAATTTAGTTGTAATTTTCCTATAAATAGCTGCAATTAATAACAGAGTGCTGAACTCAATTTAACTGCAACTTATTTTGAGGTAACATAATCAGAATTCTGTATTAGCTTCTAAATATAATTATATATTATAAATATAATTATAGTATTGTTGTCTTTAATCTATTGTGGAAATATAATTAATCACTCATTGGCTTTTATTCCTTATTTAATGCAATTAGGTCACCATTAACAGATTAAATTAAATACAGTGGAAACAAATATAGGCTAATGCTCATTTCTCAATTTCCTGATAAATATAGACTAAATTCAAAAGATGACTTTATTTTTTTACCAAAAGTAATAAAACACAGAGCTTATTGCTGTTATTGGAAGCAAAGTGCAGTATATTATGTTGTAATCTAGCATCTGTTGAAAGGGTATAGATTAAAAGATTGTTCTTGGGATTTAAAAATTAATATTGATTTGTTCAAATGAAGAAACAACAATAGGAGCTTCAAATTAAGTTTTGTGCTTGCACTATATTATGTGCAGAGAACCAAATAACTAGTACCAAACATTTTGCAGAAAAAATACTTGCTATTTTGCGTTTGATATATTCTTTAACTTAATATGTAGAGTAGTGTATTGCATTAAACATTATGTTCAAACCCTGATGCACACGTAACTTGGAATCTGTGGCTTAGTGTGCCAGAAACCTACAAGAAATCTGGATATAATAAATACACCCAATTCCCAGAAACCATACACACCATATGCGTGTCTGACATGCCTGACATGGCTTCAGGCTGTCATGCACACACACGCATGATCCGACTGCACAAAAAGCTTCCTGTGTTACTAGTGGAAGCTTATCAGACCCACCCGGCCTGGTTCTCTTCGGCAGATCGGGGGCCTGGCCTCCGCAACACGACGCCGGGATGGAGACAGACCGAGCGCAAGAGAGCAAAAGCTCGGCTGATCAAAGTGCTCGCCACAGACACCTCTTTCAGCCAATTTGTGCAGCTGTCAGGGGCACGGCGATAGCGCGTCAGGGTGTGTAGTGTGTCAGGAGTCATGATGGGGGAAGCCTTTGAAACGTCAAAGGCGTTCACTTCGCCGTCAGACGGGCCGGGATTAGAGGGAAAGGGAGAGATGATGTTGCCTCTACGGCGGACTCCAGCATGAATCACACACACACATACTCTAGATGTCTGTGTAGCCACACACACTAACAAATCCCATTCAGTCGTACATACAGCTCTAGCAGAGCCACTTAACTTAACCAAGGAGACCCGCGGAGACAAATTGCCTGGTGATAGATCTGCTATTACGCTACGCATGTGTTGTCTGAAACACATTAGCACATATAAAGGTTTACATTTGTGTTATGTTATCAGCTGACCGCAGTTGTCTTGAGGGTTTTGGTCAGAAATGTATGTGCAGCATACTGTATGCTGTAGTCATGGCCTAGTTTATTAGGAATATAATATACTGGAAAATCAAATAATGTGCAAGACTAGGAGGATTTTCTGAAGAACCGTGGAGAGATAGACAGACAGACGGACGGACGGACGGACGAACGGACAGACGGACGGACAGACAGACAGACAGACAGACAGAGAGATAGACAGACAGACAGACAGACAGACAGATAGATAGATAGATAGATAAATAGATAGATAGATCCAGTTAGTTTTGTTTTGCTGACAGATAGATTAAGATAGATTTTTACAATTTTATTAAAATTAGTAATGTTTACATGTGCGCGTGAAACACACACGTCATTTTAAGTTTTTGATCAATTTTTTTCAACTATTCTACAACACCAATTGTTGTCTTAGAACAACATACACAGTGTCACCGTACATTAAGAAAATAATGTATACATTTAAATAAACTTTCAGTCTTATGATTTTCA